GGAAAAATTATGTTTTTAGTCTGATTTCTAATCTTGTTCTTGGGGACTAGCCATCCATAATTGGCTCTATCATCTATGTTCTTCTATTATTCTTAGGAGATTGACCATCTCGAATCGGTCTCTATCAACAAACCAAAAAATTAATTACCTTAGTAAGTCATATTCCCGTATATATATAAACTTCAAATATCTCAACCCGTAATCAATGTCTACTCTCTTACCATAATGATGATTGAATTTTCCATTTGGTACGTACATCAAAATAATATACGAGAAAGAAAAAACAAATTAGACTAATTTTATTTACGAATTTCCATAATTTAACTAAAAGTATAAAGTTTACAAAATTTAGCCATGAATTTTATAGATGATATATGTGAAATTGACAAGATATTTGTGAAAAAAACGAATCTGCAAAATAGCCTTGACTATTTTGTGGGGGGGGGGGGGGGGGGGGGGAACTTCTTTTTCTATAAAGATGACATTTTAAGATTGTTAACACTAAAATGAACTTTAAAAAGTGAGTCTTTGAGATAAAACCTACGGCTTTCGTATTTAGCAGAGAACTTCGTCCGTTACACCTGCAAAATTCTGAGTTTTTTTTTTTTTTTTTTTTTTTTTGTCACTTTCATAAGTAAAAAATTCTTTATCAAGCCGTTGTTTGAGATAAAGCCTAAAATTTTCTTAATGTTACAATTTGCAACATTTACACAGTACCGGTAAAATTAATAGATGAACTACGAAATTAAATAAATGAATTGCAAAATAGTTGATAAATAAATCATTCAAAATAAATATTGTGCACGAATAATAGGGACGCGACGAGTGCAAGTCATTGATAGAAAATGAGAAAATACAAATTAATATTTGTGAAAACAAAGATTGAATATTTGAATATAAAGCCATAAAAAAGGTCAGGAAAAAGTCTTGAAGAGTATGGCCCATCATTTATGACCCATGTTTCCATCTCTCACGTCCCCCCATGTCTCATTTGCTATTTATTACTTATTCTTCAGACACAAGTCATCCCCATACACCCACCCACCCACCAAATCTTCCTATTTTTCAAGCCCCTACCCCCTCCCCTCCCCTCCCCTCTCTCTAAAACAAAACCCTCCTCCACTCATGAACATCTCTCTTTCCCTGAAATGGTCAAGCTTACGATGAGAATGGTGAAAAGACCCAACTACCCTTCATTGCTTATGAGTGTGGTGGTGTTGTTGATGCTAGTCTCTTCATGTGTTACAAGAACGATAAGGTCATCAAAAGGAGTAGCAAACACACAATTCTTCAAGACAATGAGGCCCCGAATGTCATCACATCACAATGGTGGTGCTGCCACCGCCACCTTCAATGCCCTTCTTCCCAAGGCGGTGCCAATACCGCCGTCCGGTCCTTCCCACCACCACAACGCCATTGGCATCGACACACTCCATGAATGATCAAGTACAAGACTACAAGAGTACAAGTAAAAGAACATAATCTCACATCTTCAAGGGTATAATTGTCTTTTTTGTACATGAACATGTTTTTCATAGCTCGTGAGAGAGCATTATTGCTAATTTTTCCTTAAAATTTACTCACACTATATAGTCTAGATCTTTAAGTTAAAGGTTTTTTTGTTATATTTTATTTCTCTTTTTTGGGGATTTTTAATCCAATTTCTAACTTAAGGTTGTGTTCGGGCTTTTCATCCTATATGTTCTTCGCTTGGATAGGATCCTACCATTATTATATAATACAATACAATGTGGTTAGTTTATGTATGTAAAAGATGAATAGATTATGAAATATATTTAATACAATTGCTAGTTTATGTCTCATTTAATCGTATTTTGTTTATTCTTTTCACTTTTCAATGCCTCTAAAAATTTGCATTTATTCATGCTTAAAAAACATAATAGAAGTTATCTTTCTATGCGGCTTATATATGAATGTAAGAAAATATTACATATTTTCACATTATAATGCAAGACAAAAAAAATCACCATTAATAACGGGGCGAATAAATTTTATACAACATTTTTCATGTATATATAAGTGAAGAAATTTTATATTTGTTCATGCTTTAAAATGAAAATAAATTTTATATTTTTCTGTGAACAAACATTTTATTTTTTTCATGCTTCAACGAAGCGGCGAACTCAATAGGGGCAGGATCAAATAATGAATTTCATAGTTGGTCATGACGCCATAATAGTATATTTAGAAGTTCCTAATCTCTCAAAGTGACCATCAGTTTCACATCGACAACTTCGAAATTGGTCCCCCACAAGCTAAGACAATTTTCATATCTTTCTTTTACAGCGGCCATTTTTTTTTTTTTTCTAAATCTATCTCACTCTACGCTTTATTTTTCTTACTAAGAAGCTCATTTTTGCTTCGAAAATAGTTTTTGAAGGTCACCACAAAAATCCTTGTGAAAAAAAATGTAAAAAATTATGAGTTTTACAATAAAATGAACAATTTTGCAATTTTACAGCATGCTTGATAAAAAATAATTTCGTAGTATATTAATCCCTTTTAATATTTTTAATGTGAGGATCAAATAATGAATTTCATAGTTGGTCATGACGAAATATGTGATTATTTGTGAAAATTGTGAACAAAAATGTTTATTTTGTGGCAAACTATAAGCTCAATGGTTTTTTTTTTTCATATGTTTTGGTGAACCACATTCTTTTTATAAGTATTACCGCTTGTTTTGCTAATCCATTGAATACGTTTAGTGATTATAACATAGATGCATTATTTTTCCTGAATTTTTAAAATTATAAAAAAGGGTAAATGGACCTTCTAGGCAGGCCATACTAAACCAATCCCAAAACGAATAACGTGGAGTACAGATCGCAGAACTTTAATAATATGTTAGGTGTGTCATCATTTGAACTATTGACATCTTTTAATGAAATTCCACTCATCAAAAAATCTTAAATCATTTTTAAAAGAGGAATATATTATTTATTGTTTTGTCAATAATTATTATGTCATGTCAAAATAGTTAAGCTAAATCATCATTTAACATATAAGAGCCAATTACCGGTGGGTAATATTTGCATAAAACATATAGTTTGTTGGTGTTTTTTGTATAAAAAGTTTACTTGGATGATATTTTTTGAACATACCAAACTTGGATGGTGTTTTTTGAACGATTTTGAAACATAGTTACCCATTTGAGTCATTTCTTCTTGTTTTCTTTCATTTACTTATTTTTTACCAGTAATTGTCGATTACCACAATGTCAAATTTGAACAAAGAATATACTTCATTGGTGTTTTTTATACAAATGCTTTACTTTGCTAGTGTTTTTTGGACACACCGAACTTAAATGGTAATTTTTGAACGATTTTAAAACATAGTTACCCATATAAGTCATTGTCCCTAAAAAATTCGAGACACCAAATTTACAAAGGAGTATAGGCATATTAGTTTGATAGAATTTCAATATGATATTATTGGTAAACTATTAGCTAATAGGTTAACAAAGATTATTATAAGTGTTGCCAATGTTGAGCAAAAACATTCACTAAAGGTAAAATTCTTAACAAACCTTTGAGGCTCAATGAAATTGCCGATTTCTTCAAAGATAATCGGAAGAACATATAATCTTCAAGATGCATTTCAAAGAGTGTGGCTATTTATCATGGGGACTCTTTCATCGAGAACATGGAGAGATTGAGATTTGGTTTAAACTGGTGTAGTTGGATAAAAGGCATGATGAGATCCTATATGGACTATGTTCTTGTCAAAGGTTCCCAACCAACGAGTTCTATTGTGAGCACGGTATAAGGTGACTCATTTTCACCTTTTATCTGTATGTTAATTCATATCTACGTAAGGTCTTCGTGTTGCATTCGCTAGGCCAATGTAGCTAATGCTTTTCAAGGGATCAAGGTCAGGATTTTAGAGTCAGAGATCTCCTATTTTTTCTATGTTGATGATGTTATGTTGCTCTATGACCGGAACCTCGAGAATGTTAGACGAATTGTTTGCATTCCTAGGTGTTTTTTTACTTCGAGGATGAAATTCAACTTACTTAAAAGTAAATTAATTGGACTGGGGGTGAATTTCTATCAGGTCGAAGATGTTGCTTGTAAGAACCCAAAATTTAGAGAGATTTAACTTTAGTCAAATATTGACCAAAACAGTAATTTGGTCATTTAGAAGAATTTTATAAGTTTGTGAAGTTGTAACTTCATAAAATTGGCCAAAATAAGTTTAAGTCACATTTAAAAGAAGAACTAAATGAATTCAAGATAATAAATGCAAGAGATAGTGCATTTAGGCCTTAAAGGGTAAAATATGAATTTTATGCTTTTTAGGCCAGGTTTGTGACTTAATAGATTAAGATCCGCAAGCAGTCATTACGAAGTGACTTAATGAAGTTGTAGAATTCATCTCTACCTCCACGTAGATATAAAGATTAATGAAAACGACTTTAGAATGAAGAAGATATGAGTGTAAGAATACTCGAAGAAAATGTCCCAAAGTTGGAATGGAATCAACTAAGGGGGCTACTATTATATAGCCATTGTGACGTGGTAGAGAGATTGTCATGGCGCGGTGAGGCACAACGGTGATTCAGACGAGTGTTTCATTTTAAGTAGAGGGCAACGTACTTTGCACCGCGATGTGGTATATGGGTACCGCGATGTGGTGACAAAAGTAGGATGCTATGTGGGAAAGGCACCGCGACTTGGTTAGAGGCAGACCACGACCTATTTAAGCGCACCACGATATGATGAATAGATTGAAAGCTCTTTATGCCCAAGAGTCGTTATAGAAAGTTATTACTAATTGATTATTTATTAGAGTAATTTTGATTATTAACAAATATAAACACTTGTATTTAATTGGGAAAACATTATCTTATGAAAATAATATTTTACCAACATATTGAGAATTATTGTTATAGGAAATAATAACAAAAGAGAACAAAAACTAGTCATATGATATGAACATTAGTGTTGTATACAAAAATTTTAAACACTTTGAGTAATCACTTAGTTTGATACCAACTAGCTAGTTATAAGATTGTGTAAATAACACCCAAAGTTCTTTACTTTTGTTACCAAGAACTGTAGGTACACCATGGGGTTACCTTTTCTTATGGTGTTAGTTTCTTACATACTTACAAGTCATAAGATGAAGCCATACTTTCATTTAATGCTTTGTTTGATTTGGCTCTTTTCCGTTAGTATATAAAGAAGTGTAAGGTGGAAAAACTAGCTAGTTTTTCCCTTAGTATCTTCTTTCTTTTCTCCTCCCAAAACTGTGAGCTCCTTAAGCTCATTCCTTCTCATATAGTGTAGAGTATAAGGCTTTATATATTGCTTCTCTTTAAGGTTCATTTGGTATGAACTCTTAAAGCTTAAGAAAAATACATATACAAGTGAAGACTAGCATATTGAAATGGTATTTCCTTGCTTTGTGGATACTTGTAGAGAGCTTTGGAGCATAATGCATCACCTCATTAACTTCCATCTTCCATTAGAATCAAAGACTTCAACAATTGTATTCTTTTCCTTTCTATGGTTGTTTTAATCTTTCCATGCTTTTCAAAATGATCATTGGTGAGTAAAAATTTAAAATTGCTTATGTTGCTAATCATATAGTTTTAAGTACATAATTAGACTATTTTTGAATAAAACCCAACAATTGATATCAAAGCCATTTTTGCAAGCTTGGTTCGATTATTAGATTATTTGGTATAATCTTTGTTTTTTGAAAACATAGATGATTTTTTTGTAAGAAAATTCAAACATATTTTCTATGACAATTCTATAATTGTTATTTTTTTGTAACATCCATAAAATTCATAAAAAAAATGTATACTTTTCAAACATTCCAAAAACCATTCATTGTTTACAAATTGTTTTCAAAATAGTTTATCATCAGAGAAATCCCAGAATTCATAACATAAAATGTGAGGAGGTATACGATCAAGCCTTCGCCTTCCCACTATCATCTGAAGTACCTGAAACAAAATCCAAAACTGTAAGCCCGAAGCTTAGTGAGTTCCCCCAAAATACCAACGCCACATAACGGAACAATATCATCAACAAACAATATGCATATAGAGTCTTCAGTATAACTGGACCGCCCCACCGGGTCTTCAGTCTGTCTGGACTGTTCTCTGGGCCTTCGGCCTGACTGGTACGCCTCGATAGGCCTTTAGTCTATCCGGGCCGCCCTGGGTCTGTTGGCCTAGAGCACAAAGCAGGACCGTCTCAACCCACCCCCAAACATACAATCAACACAGAAATATCAAACGCTAGCTAGCACGTACAGATAGTCATACAGATCTAACATATCACTAATCATAGCATCATCCTATATATCAGGATACAAATCTAACAAATCACTAAGCATAGCACCGTCCTATATACAAGGATACATATCTAACATATCACTAAGCGTATCATCATGCAATAACCAGGAT